TCATTTACAAGGCAGTTCGGCCATGATCCACTCTGACTCCATCATGTCCCTGAAAGGCTCCCTCCTCTCACACCTCAAGCTTTTTATCAGAATGTGGGGTCCTCTCCATGCAGTCCTTTTCCTTGGAGAATTCTGGTAAACACAAACGCCATCACAAAAGTGATGTCTTAGCATCGGGGCTGACCTGGACCACTTTGTGAATCGGCACTCAGGCACTGCCCAGGGACCAATTCCTTAATCTGTCTGGAGGGCTGCAGGGCAGGCAGCGCCTCCTCACCTCTTCCCCCTACTAAGCACATGTCCCCTCGGATTGGATGGTGGTTCTGGGATCTCATTTGGGCTCTGGTCCCCACTGCTGTCACCCACACTCCCGCTATCTGTAGTGTCATCGCTGTATGTTGAGACAGGTTCCTGACCTGCGGCCCTGCCAATACCAGCCAGGGGACTGAGTCTCTGGTCCTCTAGACGGATAGCAAGTAAGAGGCAGAGGCCAAAGCCTCCTCAAACGATCATTTCATCTGCCTCCACTTCCTGGCCGTCGTGGGAAGCCTCCTGATGGTCTTTGGAAAGCTTGAAGCCATGATTTTGCTCACCCACTCAACACTGGCTTCAAATTCTTTAAAAAAAAAAAAAACCTCTGGGGAAGGCCATGAATACCCAGTGCCTACTTCCCATCGTCCCAGAGGCAGTGATGATTTTAAAACAGGAAATGTCTAGGAACTGCAGGGAGGGGTGACGGGCTGGGGATAGCAATGCGGACTGCAGCTCTTCTCTCAGGGCTGGGTCAGGGAGGGGAGTGAGAGGAGAGCAGGACACGTGGAAACACAGACGGATGCTGACAAGGGCTGTGGGCAGGGTGCGTGCTAAGTACCCCGGGGAGACAGAGGTTCGGTGTAGAGTGTCTGGGCTTTTGTCTTCAGACTGCTGCCAGCATCCTCCCTCGCTGCACGGAGGCACAGCGTAGTTGTCAAATGTGAACCCTAGATCTGCCTGTTTCTGCCTGTGAGGATTTTTTCTTACTTGAAGAATAGTTAGTTTACACCGTTGTGTTAATTTCTAGTGTACAGTACAGTGTTTCAGATAAATGTATATACATTCCTCTTTGTATTCTTTTTCATGACAGGCTATTACTAGGTATTGAATAGAGTTCCCTGTGCTATATAGTAGGACCTTGCTGTTTATGTATTTTATGTATATAGTAGTGTGTATCTGCAAATCCCAAACTCCCACTTTATCCCGCCACCCCTCCACCCTTTTCCCCCTTGGTAACCATAAGATGGTTTTCTATGTCTATGAGTCCGTTTCTGCTTTGTAAGTAAGTTCCTTTGACTGTGAGAATTGGATAAGTCCCTGAACCTCCCTGAGCCCCACTGTCCTCATCTGTTAAATGGGAGCAATAGCACGAGCCTTGCAGGAATTGGATCATGATAAGCCATAATGTCGTAAAACATCCAGAACTGAGTGGGAACTCGGTCGATGGTGCGTACCGTTCTTACTCCCCTTGCCCTTTCTCGTAGTTCCTGTTTCTTGCTTTTCTTTTGTCTTTAATAAAGGTTTCACTTAGCCCCCCACCCTACCTCCCCACATACACTAAGTGACTATGTCTGGTGGTTTCCAGATGGAGCAGCGTCGAAGCCAGAGCTTCATACAATGAGTGACCCTGGAGGCTGGTGTTCAGACAGTGGCCAGGGGCTTCCAAGGGGGTAGCAGAGGTTAAGTTTCACCGTCACTGAGGATCACATTCTAGCAATGGGGCTGACGTTTATTGTTTTCATTGCCCTCCACATCTAAAAGATTTATTTTTTTTATATACTTACAAGAAATGAGGAGCCTTGCCTTTGGGGTAATTTCCTTTTGACCTGCACCTTAGCTGTTTCACTTAGTCCTTAAGATAAACACTTTTATGTCTCTATAATTCCTAATACTTAACATCTTCATATCGGTCATTAAGCTCAACAAGTGACTTCTTGTGTGTGATATTATGACAGGTCTCTTAAATTTTTTTCTTAATTCTGTGTATGAGTCTAGAAATTTGTTACTGAGTAGATTCTCTTGGGTCTTTGGTTGCCACAAAGCGCTTAGATTTGTTGACAGATTATAAACTATGTTTATTTACATTGATGAGTGGCTGTCAGGTAATAATGATTGTAAAGCACCATGAAAGGCTGACATCAGCCAAGTGGCGAGCCCCAGACCAACCCAAATGTGGGTTGCCGTTCAATGTAAATTACTGGATATTTATTGAATTCTACATCCAGCAATGTCCCAAGGGGAACCCCAAAGACAATGCCAAAGCACATGATTTATTAAATAGTGATCAAAGGTGGACTAATTTGTACTCCAGATTCCACACTGACAAGCTTGTAAACTGGGCACCTGGGCTTCTGGAAAAATGTCACCGTGTTCAGGTGAGCAGGATTTAGGCACCTCCAATCTGGCCTCACTGGTTGGGTGTCTGGCTATATTCAGCAGGAATGAGGAAGGAGTCTTTCTACTGCTTTAAGCATCCCCCTCTCCCCCTCCCCTTGTGTTCCCCTGCAGGCAGGGAGCAGCTCTCCCAGGGGATGACAGGAGAGCACCTCAAACTGCAATCCAGGCAGGCGAAATTGAAGTCATGAGATGATTATTTCAAACTTGAAACTCGATAAAGGGCCGTCTGCAAGTAGGCCAACCTCTTGTGCCAAGACCAGCACCTGAGCCACCCATCGGCGTGCTCTGAGCACAGGGACATGTCGGCCCTCTCCACCTCACCCCCTCCACCCACCCCTTCACTTTCTGCACTGCAGCCTCCTGTCACCTCCCTATCCCTTCCATGCACCCTGCTGCTTCTCACTTTTGCCTAAATGCTTGCTAGCCCTCCCTGCTTCGTCTGCACACTCATGCCTACCCTGGTTAATACCTATGCATCAGATCGATCACCAGGAAATACACTTCCCCGGGGAAGTTGCCCAGGACCTCACAGAACAGTCAAAGTCTTCTTCATGGGGTCTCACATAACTCAATGTTTTCTGTGGCCCTTTTCATTGTAATTAAATGTTGCTTGCACAATTCTTTGCTTCCAGCTAGTATGACTGGAAGGCCTTTATTTCCAACAAGAATGCAAGCTAGAATCAGCAGAGCCCGACCACGCTAAGGCTTGCTCTGGCCCCCTTCTTAGAAGGTTCCGGGAGCTTCCCCTTGGTTGTGGGTGGGCTTGTCCATTTCTTCCTCATTAGGAGGGACAAACAGCATATGGGTAAGTTTGGAGAGATCCTTAATAAAATGTTTAAAAGGAAAACCCCTCAACAAACATATTTATAAGCATAACATGGCAGAAGTAAATGGAGTACTGGGGATAATCTGGGGACATTTTTCATATTTCTTCTCCAGAGGCCAACACCACTTCTCCACTGACTACCATCTTCAAGTTGCATATGTTGGATGAGTAGAGTGTGACCATTTGCCTCCTTGGGATAGCTGCCCTGGGAGTCCCTTCTGCATTCATGTTTGGACGGGCGAGGTAAAACGGGGATCAGAAACATGAGATGGACTATGGAAATTCTGAATTCTATTAGCATTTCTTTGCTCCCTGAGTATTTCTTGAAACTTTCTGGTGTGAATTGGGAACTGTGCCTCCTCTCCCTTCTTTATCAGTGACTTTAACTGTGATTTGGTCCATGTCTGTTGAGGTAGATGTGAGACAGGGCCAGATTTGAACAAGACTGTTGTATGGGTAGAGGAAAGAAAGCCAGAAAAGACCAGGTGGAATCTTATTAAATTGAAATCTTACTGGCAACTTCTCATTGAGTCAAAACAAATTCAAGTTTGTATGCACATCTCTTCATTTGACTGTTGGAAATGAAATGACGGAAGACACAGAGATGGAGTTAGCATAGTAGAAGTATTATGATTATATATGCCCAGGTCCTGTTTGACACCTGGAAACTTTACTCTGTTATATGAGTCAAGGTCAACTGTTTGGGTCTCTGTAAAGCTCTCTCTTAAAATTTGTTTTATAAAATGTTACGGTGAAATAAAGCACCTGGTGA